CGTATAATTTTAAAGAGAACATTCCCTTGTATAATCAGATATAGACTTCATACAATAAATGTATATAAGCGGATATTTACTTCAATTCATCAATTTTATTCACATAAAATTAATGAAGATTTCAATAATGTTATCAGCAAAAAATGTTTTACCTAAGAGAAGAGATATTTTCATGGAGGATTTTGTAGAAAAATCATCTCGTATTTACATTTCTCATGGAGAAAACTACCTCCTTTTCAGCCAACCCTTTCACAGATACTGGAACCCATATCGAACTACCAGCGTTCAATGATTTTATCCACTTAGCTGCTATGCATGCCAAATTCATGTGATATAAGTTAGGGACTACGTTAACATCCTTCCAAACTTAAGAAAAGAAGAAATGTAGGGGAAAAATTAATCATGCTGTCAGAGTAATAAGTAGTGACAAGCATGTTACACAGTGATTCAAACATTTTTCATCAGAAATTCCAGCAATATGATTCTTATGATCCGCCTTGTTATGTAAACACAGTAGATGGCCTGCCAAGAAGCGTAGTGAGAGGTGTGTGCATCTGCGGCCTTTATGGGGAAAATATTTCGTAAATTTCGATTTAACATAAGTTAATTGATCTTTATAAAACTACTTATTTATTCGTGTATATATTATATTAAGTTTTAAAAATCCGGCATAAAAGTGCTTCATAATTTCAGTTAATTAATACACGAACATTGAGACTGATAAATCATATTTTCAAAATATAATCTTGTGAATTTCCAACTGTATTTGACTTACTGTACTCACTGAAGTAAAATAGCTTTATTGAATGAGAGCTTATTAAAATTATACATGCAGGAAAGCCGCCCAGACGTTATAGTCGGTAGGGAAACTTACTGCGGTACCGGAGGGGCGGTTCGAATCTCGGAAAAGGCATGGATATTTGCAAATGTATAGTGTATTTGCGGCATGGAGACACTCTAAATATATGGAGAAGCCGAATGTCTTTTCGTCGGAATCGGTGGTAGGGAAGAGAGGTGGGAGACCCTCGCCACCCCCCTCCGATGTGCATTTCCTTAAACCTAGGGTGGAACTAGAAGTCTAACCTCCTTGAGATCTCTGGCAGCCATTCTTTCATGAAATTCATACACAAGACTACAACAACGAAATGCAGGAAGAATTTCTGAATTCTTTTTGTGGTGTAGAATTAGGATAATGCTAAATGCAAATCCTAAATTTCTTTGTCAGTGAAAATTAATTGACAATTTATCTCGTTGGAAAGATTTTGAATAACAAAATTCAATATGCTGACGCTGATTCACTGACCTACATTCAGTAAACGAAACGTTAGTTATGCATTATTTAACTTTATTTCACCATAAACATATGGTCAAACGATTTTCTTATAATTATATTCTGTTTTAATATACGCTGCTTGTTTAATTATTTTCTCAGTTCTGTATTTTAATACGTTACTTTGCAATTTCTGAATTATTGTTATAGTGCGCAATGCGTAAATTTAAATATCCATTCATACCATTACCAGTCTTGAGGGTCATGCATGGAAGAGGTTATTTTGAATGGCATTTCATTCTTTACAGTAATTTTTCTCATGACTTGACGAACACTAAGATGCATACTAACGACACTAGGGTAATAAAATATGTATATTTATTTTCTGCAAGTTTAGCATAAAACGTTAAAACATAATTATGCTTGGGGGAAAACATACGACTTTCAGTTTACTGCAAAACATAAATAGCTCATTCAAAATCTTAAATTATTCATGTTTTGAAGAAAAGAGCTAGAATATAAATGGAATTGTAAGTCAGGTGTAATTTTCAATAGCTTAAAATTCCTTCTCATGTTTTATAGTTAATTTTAAATTTGTGGCATCATTACGTCACACCAGGTTACTTTACTAAGGCGTTTATCATCTCCGTCATCCGTTTAAAAGTTGCCATTCCAAGATATCTACCTAGGCGTTTCGCACATTGTTTAGACAATTTTGCTTTGTTATTCAAAAAACAGTCTAGTTGGAATTTTTTAAACTGCAACTATATTTTTGAAAGTATAAATAATCGTGTGCTACTTGATAGTTTTGTTTTCAGGCAAAATGGCGCTTTTAAAAGAAGCAATGGATGTAAGGCTATGATTGTGCTCTTCCCGATGAAAATTATTCGTATCTAATAATTAAAAAAACTGCGAAAACCATTTTTACTTCCTTGTAAGCACTAAAAAGGAAGTATTGTAATTGCGAAAAGTTTCAGGCAGCATATTTCAACGAAAATAGCCATTTTGACGGCTATCAAATTCAATTTAACGATGTTTTTGCGTGACATCTGTACATAAGGACAGAATAAAAGACTCTTTTCCTCCAAAAAAAATTATAAAACTGCTTTAAAATGATTTCTAAAAAGAATTTTTCGTGGTGTCTGTACGTACGTATGTATCTCGCATAACTCAACATTCAGTAGCCTCAGAATGTTGAAATTTTGTATATAGAACTGCTATAGCATGTAAATGTGTACCTCGTATTTTGGTTACAATCGGCCGCACCAAACGTATATAAATATACTCACGGCTCAGTAATCTCAGTTTCTTTACTCTTATATGTTTGTAAATTGTGCATTTTTTTGCTTTAAAAATGATAGAATTATGTTGCTCTTATCTTCCCGTTAAGGTTATTATCCCGTTAAGGTTTTTACGTCTTTAGGAAATCTGCAAGTAATATTTGTAGAATTATCAACAATTTAGAAGCTGTTTAAAGTGCGATTAAGCCTAATTTTTAAATAACATGGCGGACATATTTGTTTACATTTGAAACATCAGAATAGTAGATTTTTTGCCAATCTAGAGAGACAAAGCTTCGTAACAACAAAGATAACGCCTTCATTTATTATTGCGAATTAAATCATACTTAATCCTTTCTGGAATTTTTCGAGGAAATAAGGATTTACTTCAAAATTTTTAATATAGATATATTGAGTTTTTATGTATTTTTGCCTTGTCGCGAAGTGAATTAATTAAATAAGAAATACTGAATCGTCTGTGAAAAACTGTTTCTTTTTTGTTTTGTTTGCTTAATTTCTTTTATACATCGTTCGAGATTTATTATAGCATTTGAATAGAACATGTGGCAACGATTAGATATAATTCTTCAAATGATATAAATTTTGTGCATTCTGAGTTATAATATGAACTGCAAATTGTGTTTTTCATCATTTTACTTCATGCCAATTATTGCTTATCAGAAGAAGAATATTTATGAAATTTTAAAAATGCCTTACAATATATCCTGCAAGAGATGGTGCCACCAGAGCTCCAGTCAACTAAAATGCTTTTCATCTCTTCTAATAGATGGCGCTACACGAACGCCTCATTTGTTCAAAGTTTACCTCTTCTATGGACGGCGGCACAGGAGCCTCCGTCGCTAGTAATCTCTGAGTTCTAGGACAGCATGTGCGCAAGTACTTCCATATTATTGGATACAACTTATTCGATTCTTCACGCATTTAAAAGTCAAGTATAATATATCAGTAAAGGCTGTTAATAGCCTATTGCCTCTTACTAAATGATAAGACATATATATACACATAGTTATAATATCAACGAAATATAACGCTGTTAAGTGAACTTAGCACTAGAGTGTCACTGTGTTAAACAAATATAGTGAATTTTAAAGAGTGCATTTATTCTATTGTGGTTTATGCGCTATCGACCTAGTAGAATTAATTGAATCCAATAAGTTTAAATGAAATGCAAGAAAAAATGCGTATAATTTAATGATCCGTACAAGGAAGTCATGTGATGTACACATCAAATTTCTTTATATCTAAAGCTAAGGTAGGTAATATTGTCAACAAGAAAGAAGAAAAACGTAAGAGTTTCACTTCAAGTATAAAAATTGTATTAAATACTTATACAAGAAAAACACAGAATGTCTCGAATTTGCAAAGGTAAGATCTTTAACGTTAAACGAAAATCCGCCAAGTCAAAGGACAGTTGCAAAATCATTAAAATATTCAGTGTCAACTAAGTGATTAATGCTGACTTTTATCTTGCAAAGACGAAAGAATATAATGGGCGTCGTCATTTTCCACGACATAGAGCCGAACGCAGAAACGCGCTGCCGAATTTTTTATGGGAAACAATTATGCCGACAAAAATGGAAAAGTGTTGTTACTTTAGATGAATCTTCGGTCTGTTTAAATTGCTGCAATAAAAAGAGATCTATTTATTGTCAATAAAGAAGAGAAAATAATCTTAAAGTATGGTTAAAAAAATCTAAAAGTTTTTCAAAGAGATTTATGATTGTTTCTGGTTTTCCATATAACGACAAATTAAAGATAAAGAGAATGGAAAAAATATTTAAGATCTAATCCACATATTATCAGGAACGTATCTTACAGCCAATTTTCAAAAATGAATTTACTTCTCGTCACCCATAGTGTCATCAATCAGTAGAACTTCATCAAGACAAAGCAAGCAACCACACATCAAAATCTACTATTAATTTCTTAAAAAAATGCAACAAAAAACGGTATCAAGTCCATACCTTTCTCTTATATCCTACTAAACTTTCTAATGTATCACCCATGGATTTTTTGCGCTTTTGGACTTTTAAAAATCGAATTGTCCGAACGTCGACCTTACCGCCCTTCTTGAACTTTGGAGGGCTGTTCAAGAGGAATCGGGTAAAATGCCTCTCCCGTTACAACAAATGTCTACATTATCTAATAAATTACAATTTAGAAGGATAGCAAAGAATACGGGTTATCAAATAGAACATTAAAACACAAATGTTTTAGAGAAAATATTTCTGTAAATAAAATGAAAATTGTCTAAAAATGTGCGAACAGCTTTTGTATGTGCGATGCATTATCTTGAAACTAGTAGTGAAAGTAAGTTGACGATCACCATTGTACAGAATTCCCTATATCATTTATGTTGTCTGCAAAAATTTCATGAAATAAATTGGTGCAATACACCACACGGTTATAAAAATATAATTTCTTTACAGGTAGTAGAATTGACTTGGTGGCCACTATTTCGAGATTCCCTCTTCTATTCAGTTACAGTCATAATTCTCATTGGCGTAAGTATGCCACACTATAGCTTCTTCTTTTCTATTCTTATAATTTTATCCGTCAGAAGCCGAGTATAAAAGCGCGTTCGATATTGATAATTCCTTGAAAGTTAGATTCTCAGTAAATGAATTAGTATTCTCAAGTTGAATTAATCCTTTGCGGCACAGTGTGTCCGCTCTGGACACATCTAAAAATTTCCTTCTGTACGCAAAGAAAAATTGAATGAAAAAGGATTTATAGGTTACTATAGGTTACGCTGAACTTTCTTTATTTATAGTAGGTGGCAGCTCAACACAAACCAGTCCATATATTTTAGCCATGTTTAGTTTTTAAAACCCTCATTTTTCAAAGAAATCTTCCAGATATTTTTAGGGTATAAAAGGAATTATTTGAAAAGAAATTACTATGTTATTTTTTTGGCTGTATGCTAATCTCCTTATTCTATGTTAGTTTTAAATTTTTACCTTGAAATCTTGCCTAAAGTCAAACGGCGAACCCTAGGTGTGCTCAGACTGGCCTCAACGATAATCTAGGACAACTGAGAGTCTGTATTCTTTGCTTCTCCGCATCTCATCGGTCAGTTCATTGCCAACAATGCTCGTTTCAGCACTCCTTTCGAAGCTCTATTCAATCAGTGTACCACTTTGGGCACACCCACAGAATTAAAACGATAAGTGCTATGTTCACAAAATTTTATTTGTGTACTCCTCTAGGCCTAATTAGACTGCTTACCTTTTTTTTTTTTTTTTTTTTTTTTTTTTTTTTTTTTTTTTTTTTTTTTAAATCAAAACTTTGATTTTAAAAGGTAGCGTGCTGGAAAGGGTTAAACATAACTTTCATGGCTTTCTTCATGTGTAACGGTAACACGACCCAGTTTCCTTCAGAAACTTCTTCATCAGGATATTCCTTTAAAACAGCTAGACATACTCACGCTTTTGTTATGATCTATTAACTTATTGTACTTTTCTTAACTCAGATATTAAATTGTGCATTCAGCTTTCTTAGAAACATAAAAACAGATTGATTCATTCCGTGAAATATAATGTTTTTATGCATGATTTATTTTACTACTGACATATAAGCTATAGAAAAATTATAAAATCGCGATATAAATAGGCATATCAGTTGGTGGAAATCCTCTTAAAGGCCCTTACATTTTGAGTGATTAACTTTTATAGATTATACTAAATATATATAGTAATATTTTAAACAGTAATTGTTTGTAGAGAGGGATGCCGTTTTGGAACATCGTTTTCCCTATCTGAGGGTCCTGGAACCGTATTCGTGTTTCGTATGAAGAAACTTCATGAAACTAGTTTGTTCAAATTGTGGAAATAGAGTTCACAAAGAATTTTATCAATGTATCATGGCTTCCATTGGCCTCACTAGAACTTGTATACTTAAAATATTTTTAATTTACCATTTCGGTATTTACGTATTATCCTGTCAACCGGCCAACTACAGCGGTTTAACACCAATAATGGGTAACGGCTTCCTTTAGAATACCGTAGTAGCGACTGGCGATTGGCGACCGTAGCCGAAACTCCAGCCAGCGGTCAACGTAAGTGCTGTAATTTCTTTTGTAATTGTGTCCTTCTGAGTGAGTGTTCACTGAGTGGTCTCAGATTTTTTAATATCAAAAATTACTTAAATTAATATTCATCACTCTGTTATTCTTAATTATGAAAAAATGTAATCAAGAACCATAGCATTAAAGCCAAAAGTTGTCTACATAAATTTGATTTTTCTAATAAAATAAAATAAACTAAGTAATTTCATAGCTTTTCTATGTAGAATTATTTATATAGTATACCTATGTAGAAATATTTTTTCCACTTAATCACTTTACATATTTATTGTTATTTTACATTTCTTCCACCATTTCGAATCAAATTTCAAAACCTACTGAGTACTAATAGTTTGAAAGAAAATATTACACGTAAGACTTCATACCCTCGAAAGCTTTGCCGTAATGAATATGAGTAATTTATGTTAATTAACATATTATTATGATTTAAAACTCTATTAAAACTTTTCCCTTTCGTTGTCCTCACTTGAATGCAAATCATTTGATTGTGTATTGAAGCTGAAAGTTTGGAATGTTTAAATTAGAGCTTCTGTCAGCGTAGGCTTGCTGTATGTATGAATTAACAGCTCTCTGAGTTAAAAAAAAAGGGTCTTGAAAATTTATTTTCAACGTCTGCTACCAAAATTATCAAATATTATAGAAATTTTCATATAATCTGCTCGTGTCAGTGAAAACGGCTTACACCTCCTGACATAAAATACATTACTATTACAATATATTTCTGTATGTTGACTGTAAGCAAACAGATGCTTCCAACTTTGTAATTAAAATTTTTCCCTGTTATTCTTCCCTTCAGATTTAATAGTTTCTCCACTTTTTAATTAAATGGCACTGCAACCCTGTTTGCTTCTTGCGGGATACCAATTTTTTCTAGAAATCGACTGAACTTCTGTAATCTTAAATTGTTCACTTCGAAATTAAAATCTGAAGTTTTCATGATTTCATAATGTGTAACATAAATAGAAGTCAGTTTCGTTTCCAAAGTTCTGCCACCTGGAACACCAATATCTCTAATATTAACTTAGACCCCAATTCTCTATGGAAAATCATTAAAAACTTGAAGAATTCTGAATCCATAATCAGCCCCTCAAGGATTGGTGTACTCAGACTCTGAGAAAGCTGATCTTTTTTGCCAATGGCCTTTCGAACAGTTCAAACTCAACCGTCTAATCAGGAATTGGAGAATGAAATTGCCGAATTTTTAGAAAAGTGGATTATGTCGCCGGCTCCTCCCAATACTCCCAAATTTGCCTCACCACTGGAAATTAAAAGTATTATTAGTTCGCTAAATCAGAAGAAAGCACTGGAATTGATAATATTAATAAAAAAATGCTGAGAAATGTACCTGACAGTCTTATTACTAATATAACCAGCATCCCAATATGCCTGCCTACAAAATTCGTATTTTCCCAATACAAGGAAACACGCATTTATTGTCCTAATTCTAAAACCTGAAAAACCACCTGATAACCCTGCCAGCTACCGACCCGTAAGCCTACTGTCTGCTCTCAGTAAAATCCTATAAAGAATCATCTATAATCGCATTAAGGATTACCTCAGCGTAATAACTTCAAAACAGCATGGATTCCGCAAGGGACTATCCACAGCAATGCAATTTGTGACAATCACAGAATTCATCGGAAGCGTGTTGCACAATAAAATGAGTACTGCCATCCTGATACTAGATGTGGCCAAAGCCTTCGACCGCGTCTTGCATACAGGTTTTATTTACAAGCTCATTCAAATGGAATTCCTTCGCGAAACCATTCTCGTACTCCGCTCTTTTTTGCAAAATCGTTCTATCTCTGTCCGGCAAGGAAACATCATCTCAAGGGCCAAAAACATCCTTAGCGATGTTCCCCATGGAAGGGTTATCAGTCCTATTTTGCACATTTTATAAGTAAATGATTTCCCGGACTTCAGCAATGATCACAACGCCTTGCTCATCTGCATAGCAGATGACACGGCACTCCTGATAAAGTCTCGTCGGCCAAACCACGCTCTTGCCAAGTTACAAGAAAACCTCCCTGTTACCGAGGAGTGGTGCGCTAAATGGAAGATCCGCGTTCACCCAGAGAAGTCGCAAGTCTTACTTATCAGAAAATTTCGTACCAAAGACGTCACCGTCTTTGGATATCAAGTTCTAAAAGTCACCCAAGCTGTCTACCTTGGAATCACATTAAATCATTCATTCACATGGTCTCGCATCAAACGAGTGCGCAGCAAGGCGTTGTGAGATTATATCCCCTTTTAAAGGATGAGCTCCTCTGTCACTATATCGTAAAAGGCATAAATTTACACATCAGCTATCAGGCCTATTTTTACATACGCTTCGTCTACCTGCTCAAGCGCCAGCGAAAGTGACATCTATTCCCTATAAAAATTTCAAAACAAAATTCTCAGGATAATCACCGGAGCTCTGTACTACGTTAGAAACAAAAATCTCCATGCTGACCTGAAAGTGAAACTTATTTCTGATTTTATGTACATAATAAATGCTAAATCTTATGATAAAGCTATGCAGATCACGTCCGAAAACCTTGCAGATATTGTCGCTTACGAAATACTTGAAGAAGACAGGAATAATAGAACATTTGCAGCTTTTCTCTTAGATAGCGCAATGGTGCCCACGTCCTCCGTCACTAAACTAAAGTAAACTAAACTAAACATCAGAGACAAGGTCAACATGTGTAAATTTCGTATTAATTTTATTGAAAATTTTAGTCTTAAAAACTTTCAGCAGTCACAGGACTGCCGCCACAACCCTAATAAGACAATGCTAGCCTTTTGTCATCACATCCTCACCCGCCAGTGAGATTTCAGAGACAATGCATCTCAACGTTTTCTTATTTTTAGTCCAAAGGGACTTGAGTCCCGAAGGACTATTACTTTCGTTTTGGCATTTTGCGTCGGACGGATAAATGTCGGTTCACTTTTCAAACTGTTGCCATAAAATGTTAGAGTCCTGCATTATATTTGAAGAAATTAAATAATGAAAATCTGCGTAAATGTATGTATATTTCTCACATTGTCATAAAAATAAAGGTACACAGAGTCATCGAATTTTGAATAACGTAATCCTCCAACGAATATGAGCATGTGGAAGACCAAATTTGAAATTTGTTTTATGATCGATTTCCTATTTTTTAAAACTTTGACGAATTTTTGATTAACAAGCTCAAGGATTTCAAAGCGTGCAATGGCAACGTTGTGCAGAAAAAACATTTTTATCTCCAGCGCGTGAGTCTCTGTATCGGAAATTCTAAAGATATGCTCGTTTTAAAACTATTTTGCGATATTGCTGTTGCACTGGATCTTATGGTTTAAGTGCGAGAAACATGATATTTAATAAAGAAAGGTAACACACAAAATGTTAAAAAACGCCCCTTTGGACGTAATTTAAAATCTGAAACTTTTCAGATTTTTTTTTTTATTGTATTTTATCTTAAGGTATACACCAGCGGTTCTCAACCTTTAGACTAACTCATACCATCTAAACAAAAGTTGAAAACCTTGATACCACAATGATTATTTTCCAATTTCTGAAGAGAAATATTAAAAAAAAGACTATCTGAAAGCTTTTAGACTTTATATTACGCCCAAAGGGTTTTTCTTTAACATTTTATGTGTTATCTTTATTTATTAAATATCACGTTCTTCGCACTTAAACCATAAAATTCAATTCAACAGCAATATTGCAAAATAATTAAAAGAGCATATCTTTAAAAATTTCCGATATTCAGTCTCCCGCGATGAAGATATACTTTTTTTCCCGTACAGAGTTGCCATTACTCGCTTTAAAAATCGTTTGCGTTTGTTAATCAAAAATTCGTTAAAGTGTTAGAAAATGTGATATCGGTAATAAAACAAATTCCAAATTAGGGTTTCTAGATGCCCCTATTCGATGGAGGATTAGTTATTCAAAATTTGATGGCTCTAGGGACCGTTGTTTTATCACAATGCGAGAAACATACATACTTTATGCAGGTTCTTCATTATTTAATTTCTTTAAATATAACACAGGACGATAATATTTGGTGGCAACAATCTGAAAAGTGAAACGGACATTTAAGTTTTCAACGCCAAATGCCAAAATGAAGTTAATAGCTCTTCTGGGCTAACGCCCTTTGGGCTAAAAAGAAAGAAAGAAAATCTGAATGCTTTCATTTTATATTACGCCCAAAAGGGCGTGTTTTAACGTTTGGTGTTTTACCTTTATCGCACTAAAACACATAAAATTCAATTCAGTAGCAATATCACAAAATATTTAAAAACAGCAAAACAGCATACCATTAGAATTTTCGTTACACAATCTCGCGCTCTGGAGATTAAATTTTTTTCCGTGCAGTGTTGCCATTGCTCGCTTTGAAATCTTTGAGTTTGTTAATCAAAAATTCGTTAAAGCTTTTCAAAATCTGAAATAGATAATAAAACAAATTCGAAATTCGGGCTTCCAAGTGGCCATGTTCTGTTGGAAGACAGCGTTATTAAAACTAAGGAATGCAAAGCAACAAGAAGACAAAATACCTACTGTTAGAGACAGCAAAACGAACTAAAAAATTATTCTCATTGAAAATGGAGCAATATGAGGCCGTAAATGGCGCATAAAGTGCTGACATGATAATAAATCTGTAAACTTACATCTAATTGAATTAATAAGATACTATTACTTTTTTCATACGAACTTCTTTTTTTTTCCTACTAAATACAACATCCATTTAAATCACTGTTTTTAAAAACATCATTTATTGCAAATTGTGTTATGTCTACGGCTAAAAGAATATTTGTGAAACTTACAACATGGAAGAACCACGGAAACTGCCATGCAGATAGATCGTTCGCCTCTTGCTAAAGTCTTTAAGCGGCTGTTGACTTTGAAGAAAGCTCAGATTACATAAATTACGGGTATTAGAGAAAAAACCCAATCAAGATGTTGGGGTTTTTATTTTTGAATTTAATCGTTAAAAAAGCCTTGCTTCTTTGCGTAGCACCTATTTTTCTCTTGGGTACTACCGGTTGAGAACCCCTGGTATACACCTTTATGGTGGAACAATTTGATGAGCCATTATGTGTGTGGCCCCTCATGGGATTCCGTGATAAGCACTGGTAAGAGCCGAATTAATTCCAGCTGTAAACCAGAATATGCAACCAAAATATCAAAGTACCCAAGGTTCCCTACAACAGTATCTTATCCCTTAGGCAAACAGCCATTGTATGTTTTGCTTAATCAATTAACCAATCAATCTAAATTAAACTAACCCATACAGGTTTCCTTTGGATAAAATGAGAATACGTGTTTGCAAAATAAGAATTATTTAATAACTAAAATTAGTTATAAATAAATATAAAATTATACTACTCATAACGTGCATTTTTTCAGCTACAAATATTAATTGGAGTTTAATTCTGCAGATCATATTCGACAGCGAAGTCACATGGTACGAATCTGTCATCATGATGGTCATCTACGGACTTTACATTGTTCTCATGAAGTAAGTGTTTATGAAATTTTCTTTGCAATATTTGTTAAAGAAGACAAGTTTCTTAAAGAAGTAGCAAACGCAAAAATGCTAATTTTAAGTACTTTTGACTGTGGGATAAAAATTTCAAACTTATTTTAAATTACTACAATGATGTAAAAATTATTCATTGAAAAGATTTTTACTTTAATTTACATCATAATCAAAAACAATTCACAGAATACGAAAGAAATCTAGAAATTTATAAGGAAGGTATGCTAAACTTAACACCGGATTCCTTTGCAGAAGGACAGTTAATTTTGTGCATTTTAAAGAATGATATCAATTAAAGTTAGCTGCTAAATACTTAAAGATAATACATAATTCATCTACTATAGAGATTTGGATCGTCAGGCATGTATTTTGCAGTGAAATTTGGCACATTTAAAATTTAGAAAATCAACAAAACAGTTCTGCATCGCCTGATATAATTAGATGTGCATATTTTTACCGATTTAAAAGCAGACTTTATTTCGACGTTATAGACTTCTGAAGGAGCAAACCAATTATCACTTTTTTGGTATATTATGCTACAAATTAATTTCAATAATTTTTTCGAAAATGCTTCCTCAGTTTTTCAAAAAATCATAAATCTACGGTTATTTAAACCTTAATCAGGAGGTTGGAAACACGGCGAGGGTACTACACATTTTTCATGTTCTTGAAATGATTCAACCTAATGACTGTACAAGGCATAAAATTGAGTAAAAATCCAATCTCGGATAGTATAAGAAACTGTATTGACATGTATCAGATTTCTTCGAAATGTATATAGAGCTATGCTATAAAAATCTGATGCTAATGTAAGATTATTTTGGCTAAATTTATCTGTTTAAGGAACAATATTTATTAAATTTTTATGAAGTCGTTTATATTGGTAGAAGCAGTTTAGTCTTGAGTAGGCCGTATAAACTTTCACCTGCTGTCTATTGCAAACGATTAAACGATTTTCTGCCAAATTACCTCCGCATAAGAAGGAAGAACGTATAGTTATGTTTCTGTGGCAAATAAACATTTGAAAAATAAATAAAAATCTGAAATCTTTCAGATTTTATATTAAGACCAAAGCTACCTTTATTTATTAAATATCATGTTCTTCGCCCTTGAACCATAAAATTCAATGCAACAGCAATATCACAAAATATCATTAGAATTTCCGATACACAGTCTATGTCTATGTCGTAACGCAATTAAGAGGCAATCGGTTTAGTGCGGCTTTTACCAATATATATAAATAGGGTATCTCTAATGATGAGTTGAATCCAGTAAGATGGAACGTACTTTTTGCACCTAGTACAGTCTCTAGAAGAGAAGTAAACGTGGCGCCATCTTTTGGCAAAAATTGTAGTGAGCGTGGCTGAGGACCGAACCTACCATGAGATCTGCCTTTTGAGGATTTCTGCCGCTCGGCTATGCTCGGCTATTGAGAGCAGCTGCGAATTAATCTTGATCTGCAAAGTTCAAAATAATCTCGATGGATAGAAAAGCTAGACAAAATTTTCTGCATATTTGATTTAGCTGATTTAATTCTCTCAGCTATTGTGGTTATTGATTTCATGAGATAAACGGTTTTCTGATCTTTGAAAATGTTAATGATTTCTCCTAAATTTTCCTGCGGGTTTTTCTGCTTAATTTTGTCACTGTAAAGTTTTTTAGGCATTTTTTTTTATTAGTTTGGGCTGAAGCTTGAATGAATTCGGGGAAATCATCTTTAGTGGAATTTTTTGTGGTTTTTCTATCTTCTCTAAATGATTAAATCTTTTTCTGTATACCTTACAACCACGATAAGAAGAAACGTGATTTTCGTGGCAGTAAATGCAAGTTGTTTTTCATCTGGTTTTAAATTACAGGTATTGGATCTGTGATTTTTTCCGTACTTACAGCATCTGACCTTTCTAAAGCAGTTATTTTGGGAGTGCCTGAACTCCTGGCAATTGAAACATTGAATTGGGCGTTTTCTGGGCTGATATTTTTCTATTGTGATATTCAATCCGAACATATTGTTTAATTGATAAATTTTCTCTCCTGCAGAATTTCATTTTAGTTCAAAGAAAAATATAGGTAAACGGATAATTTGGTCTTCTGTTTTTTTCGTGAATTGCTTTACTTTAATTATAGGTAAGTTTCTGCCTTCTAAGTCTGCGTGAATTGCTTGCTCGGTGTAGGATCTCGGGATATTCTTAACTTTAATTGAAGAGGCTGAGGAAATTTGATAGTATGAAAATTAATCTGTGCTTTCTGGAATTTGTCAACTGTAGCTTTATAATCGGCTTCGGTGGTAGTATAAAGGAAAATCTGTCTGGCTTTGATTGTAACTTCAAATTCGTTTTTACATATTCCTCTGAGCATTTTTCTATTTTAGGTTAATCAACATCATTTTCCGGAATGACTAATGGGGTAATTTTCCTTTTAGTTTCTATTATTGTTATTACTATAACTATGGGTTAATTCTGTGTTGTTGTCGTATGCGTTTCATCTGTAACTTTCATAGCTTCGTTATTTTCGTTAAGAGTTTGAAATCTGTTATTTTGCGGAATATCTGGTGGTGGGGTAGACTCTGTATTTTTCGCTGTTTTCTTTGGAGTTTGCCAATCGTTCTTATTTATTGCTTTATAATCTGTTTTAGAATTTGAGAGCTGCGGAGTGTTCTGAATGCTTGCTAAAATAACTGATTTTGTTGAATTTCTTCTTGTAACTTTGAACGTATTTCTATCGCTGGTAGGGAGGTAAATGTCTTCATAGACTCAATACAGTTTAAATTTATCGGCGATTTCGTTTTCTAATTTGAGTGCGAGATCTTTTAAGTTAGTCGGAAGCTGAGTATTAAGATATTCTTACGAGATAGCTTCTGTTAAATTAGGAAAACCTTTTCTGTATTTGTTAACTACTGCTGCAAAATTTGAAGGGGAGGTTTTGATTTTCTTAGTATTATCTACCATTTTCTTAGGACTTCCTGCGGTTTTCTTTTTTCCGAGATTTACTTTTCTTAGTAGAAATTAGAGTAGCAATTATACTTTGAAGCGCCGGGTTATCTGAAGCAATTACAGGCATATCTTTGGATGTAGTCGATTTTCCTGAATAATTTGAATAGTAGAATCATTATCGCTGAAAGTAGCATGCCAAGGAATTTTGCCCCTATCAGGTGGTTCGCTATTACTGGCCATATCTAGGAGAACAAGCTATGGCGTGACTTGAGCAGCATGCAAATGGTTGTTCGCCTCGCATACAGACCACCTTCGTGAAGCCTTCTAAGCACAGTAGACGTTGACACCAACCTTCCGGTGGCTGCAGCAAGGGAGGATCTAAGAAGAGTCGGAGTAGCGGTTCTATTCCTGAGTGCACATAATGTCAAATATCGCTCATCGGCGCTCGTCGTAGCAGATGGCCATCCTTGGCTGAACCTCCTTGGTGCCGAATCTGTGATTTGAAATTGCCTCCAAAGTCTATGAACCGCAGAAGGACTCACATTTAGCCACCTGGCCATTTCTGTTTGACTTTGTCCTGCCTCTAGTCTCCCAATGACTTTCTGTCGTAGTTCTGCAAGCAAATGATGCCTGGAGATCATTGTTACGAATTGGCTATCTCAGAATTCTGATGTCACTATCACAGTGAAATATGTGGGCTTGCTCTCAAACATGGACTTTTAGGCTCCTCGCATATGACGTATTCCGAGTGCAGCACCACTAATTTGCATATTGAAGTTTTACTCAGCTACTCTTACTTGGCAACATATTCAAATTTTACACGGTTTGGCTTATTTTCGAGGGAGTTATCGCTATTTTTGTGATTTTTCCTTAATTTATGATAACCAGTGTATTTCAGAAGTGTTAGTAAAACTTATACAGCATGAACTGGTATTGAATAAACACACTATAAATTGTGCACGAGTATATGCACTGATTTTTATAAACTAATAAGCAAAACGCGATTATGTAAATCATGGTAAATTAAAACTTATCTGAAGGATTTTGATGAAATCCTTGAGACATATTATAAATTTTAAAGCAATGTAAAATCATTTTATATGTGAAATATTTTAATCGAAAAACTAGCTAGCGAGAATTACCCGAAAACAAGACACGAAAATCTAAACTGCAAAATAACTCATTATAAAATGTATTCATACCTTACGGTAATGTAACACCGGTAAGAATATTCGGCACAGTTTTATGATGAAATTAATCATCTCAGTAAAAAGGAACAAGCATTATTTCTTTAAAGCATATATAAATATTCACGTTATATAATATGACGACTAGAAAAGAAGAGTCCATGTGTCTTAAATCAGATTTAAGATTAGAAGTCTAACATATTAATATCTGTTCCTGCTTTTGAAGATACTGTTCCACCCGTCAACTTGGGGTATATGAGAAAGGGATCGGTTAGTTTCTAATGCGCACATTTTGAGTACCATGCGCCAGGTACCAGCTGGAAGCTTTGCAACTTAAATATCAACATATATTTTAAATAACTCTCAAGTATAAGTGAGAGAATTATCTTCTTTAATGTGAATGTTTCACTTACTAAACTTACAAAATGATTTTGATAAAAATTCAAAATATTGCGTGTATACTTCAATTAATGAGTTTATATTTTCCAACACATTAGAGTCCACTTAAAAAACGCAACTTTCAACGCACGTATAAGCTCTGCCGCTAAGATCTTTTTGAAGCACGTTATAGTAGCATATACTTTTACTCTCTCCACCTTGAAAGACATACAGCAGCTAGAACCTAACTCTTACTCGACATCTAGCCTGTGGATCTGTCTGTGATGAATACGGATCTCTTATAATCATCAGATTATTTTTTATGTGACATATGGTATAGGATTTTGTGTATATTAACCAGTTATTATGAACTGAATGTTTACTTTAACTGCTTCTTTTCGTAGACCACACCAGAATGTAAAGTAGTTGATTATTTAAGCCAGTAGTTTGAATATTTTAGAGCTCTGGCAACCTAGCCTTGCTATTACTTACAATCGCCATCTCTGCCAAAGTTATTCCGGCTTTAGCATCTTGCTAGTCGACGTTTAAAATATGCGCTGCTACCCCTTACCTTGACCCAACTTAAATAGCTTGTTATGTGTGTAGTCTCAGATTACATCTGAATCTAACTTTATCTTGTATTAATTTAAATACCCGCAAGTAGTGACGCTCGTCAATCTCACAAGTAGAGTTCTGTTGATTTAAGAGTTAAATAAAAAAAAGAGTTATTTATTAATTGGTGATTTTAATAGCCCAGACTGCCATTTATTAATTGCTCAGGTTTAAGTCTGCATCGGAAGAAAAGCAGCAGAGTGTGGGGCCAAGAAGAAAGAAAAGAAAAGGAATAAGTCGAAGGTTCAAGGCAAAGTTCCAAGATCGCTGAGTAATAGCTGAACTCAATGATGGATTCGAACAATGTTAAGCGAAACACTGTAGAATTTGAATTTAATATTAAATGAGTTTTTGTAACAATTGACACATGCTTTTAGATTTTAGAATTTAAAATCTTATCCAAGGTCATTAAGACATTTGTTTGGGCCTTGTTTAAATTCTGGTGGGAAAAGTTGCAGTATTTTATGTTAACTAACCAATTATTAGGAGCTGAACCTTTACTTCAATTCCAATACTTAGTCCTCAACAGAATGCAAATTGATTGTTGTATATTTAAGCCGAAGATTTCAAAGTTTTAGAGTTAGATCTTCTGGCAGCCTCACTTTGATATTACTTACCAGCGCCCAGCTCTACGAAAATCCTTCTAGCTTTAATAACTTGTTACCTGACTTTAAAATATGTGCTGTTAATTAACTGCCTAGAGCCAACTTAAATAGTTCAATGTGTGTGTGTGGTCTCAGACTAGTTACCTTCATTTGAATCTAACTTTATGTTAACTTAATTCCCCTCAAGCAGTGGATTTTTTTCCGCATTCCAAGTAGCGCTTTCTGTTCATTTAAGAGTTAAATAAAATGAGTTATTTTTAACTTTTCTGAGAATTTGTCTTTGTTTCAGGCTAAAGCGATGAGATAAGCTTATAGACATAGCAGAATCCCACAATACAGTTACATCGCCCTCTATTATTGATAACATTGATCTGAGGTCTCCATTATGTCTCAACACAGTAGAAGATGCTACGATATTCTCTATTTCAAGAATTCAGACCAATCAGACATTCTTATCCATTTTGCAGTTAATCATACATGTCTCTCTCGGACAAGGGTTGCATCTGTAAGCTGTTTTAATTGAATCTACGGAATTAGAAGTCGTTGTTTAGAAACGGGTTTTTCATAATGTCCGAACAATAAAACAATAAAAAGACTTGTATTCTGTCACGTCTAAATGACTTGCTTATGTTTCGAACTAGCTAATTACATTCAGTCTGAATACGCAAGGCAAACTATGAGAATACAAGAAATAATTCAAACTAGCTAATGTTTTTAATAAACTAGTAATTTGGAAGTATTTTAATTTATCTTTAAAATGAGAATTAGTAACTCCTTCCAAAGCAGGAGGGTCTTCTCTACTATTTATGCAGGGTGTCTCACAAATATTAGTACAGATTTTAAGAACAGGCTGGCACATAGAAGGACCGAGAGTAGCATAACAACCCATTGCTGGAAAGTTGTACCAGAGGTATAAGAAATGTAGGGACTCAAGACGGAGAATACCGTAAGTATTTATTTCTCATAAATATTACGTCCATTGTAGTAGATGACAAAATTTCAAAATGTCACAAAAGATGTTCAAAGTTTTCAGCATTACAAGCAATGCATGCTTTACACCAACAGACCATGAAGTAGCCGACACAGTCAAAAACATCTATTTTTCTTAGACATCTGCAGAAACGTGCATGATTCTTGCAACCAGATCTATTTTAGACTCAGCAGGTGCTTGATACACAACAGCTTTAGGTGCTTCCCGAAGAAAATAATATAGGCAGCTCAAATCTGTAGAGCATGGGAGTCAGGCACCAGTCCGGCACGGCGAATCCATCTTTAAACAACACAATCAAATGTCTCCAAAAACATCTTCCATAATGATAAGACGTTCCGTCATGTTGAAACCATATGTTGCATCTCACATTTGTGGCACAGAGTGAAATAACCCTGGCAGAACCTGTTTCAAAAGATAAGGTAATTTGCTAAATAAACAGGTGATGGCAACAGGTAAAGTCCGACTAAGCAGTCGTTGACCAAACCAGCCTCAAAATTCACTGTAATGCGATGTTGGGTATCATGTGGTCTAACTCAGTGAGGATTCGCGTGAGCTCTTAAAAAGGAATTATGGTGGTTAAATACCCCATCTTGTGTGAAATGCGCTTCCTCAGTAAACTAAACATAACATAGGAAATGACATATTGTTGGGCATGCATCTTAGAAATATTGTGGGAGATTTGGCTGTAGGAAGCAGTTATTCCCTTTGGAGACGATATGGTATAACAATTCAAATTGCAAAACATGATGTACGTTCTCCCGTAATTCTCCTACGGCTGCAGAAACGGCATGTTTTCTGGTACTTCAGTTCCTCTCTACAGCATCCAATGCTTTATGTTCCATGGAGGGCTTACAAGTCACCCATGGTCTGCCCTCATTCTGTCTACTACCTCTTAAATACCCATACTCAATCTACTTGCGATGTGCATTAGAAAACAAACGGTGGTCCGGTACATCTCTCTGTGGTAATTGTTCTGGATACATTCATTGAGTCGCTCGGGAATTACTATCCACCAACCCATACACTGCAAGTCTGTTATTTCCCTCTTCGTATTGCTTACGCTTAAGAAATGTTGGTACATACTTTTAAACTACTGCTCGAATGATGAAAAATCAGGTATTTCCCTTCCAGCGCCCTCGTGAACAGTACCACCTAGTGGCGTACGATAATGTTTGCAGTTATGGGTTGCTATGTAATTCTCAATCCTTTTGATGGGTTGCTATGTAATTCTCAATCCTACCTTCCTTTAAAAGTATGTACCAACATTTATGAGACACTGCGCTTGATTTATTCTGCATGTGATTACTATTTACATGTAAAAGCTTGTAAAAATCGAACTAAGATATCGAACTGAAGCAAACTACCGCCAATTTTCGAAGTATTCCTTTACTATTAAAACCTAATTCATTATAACTGAATAAAGTTATTTAAATCTTGGGGCTGCCCCAATTTTTTTTAATTTTTATAAATATAATACTTTGGATTTTGTATAGTTACTACAGTAGCAGTCAGTACAATAACTTTATTAATTGATGATTAATCTACGAACAAAATTGTTAAATTTCCGTTGTTGCAGTTCGAGCCATTGAACTTTTGATTTGATCCTTACATTTTAGTTTTGAGAAGAAATCTATAAGACGTAGTTTGCTTATTTACCTATGCGAATTGATAATCTGTTTACTAACTATACAAACTGTTTTAGGTTTAACAATGATGTACATTTCTGGATCTCAAGAAGACTTGGAATAGAAGATGATATGACTCAGAATATAGGAATTCTGGCTCAAGGGGATAAAAAAAACTACAGCTCTTATGGTTAGCAAGCCCACTTTGATTTCATAAAAGCACAGAAATATATGTATAAACGATTTATTTTCTACTTTTCATAAAACTGTATAATTTTGTAGCTTTAATCGGCACTTTAATCTTTACACTTCACTAGAAATGCAAAGTTGATGATAGAATTTGTAAAATTTCGAATGTAACACATAAATGACCATAAACCAACAACAAGGGCGAATTAAACATATTGATAAGTTTGAATTATAGAATAAAATCTTACATTGAGATATTAAATATAAACCTGCTGTTGCACTTTACATAATAATTGAAATGGCTAGATTTGTGAAGGATTGATTTTAAAAATATATCTGTATCCTGGATTTATTTTAAAATATATCTATATTTCTAGCACAAAGTAGAAGGATATGTTATATTATATCTATACCCTTCCTTCTTTGCGCCGGAAAATAATTCAGGAATCATTACAAACAGGAAATATAATCAGTTCCAGAAAAAAGTTCTTAAATGCTTCTAATTTACAGGGGCTGTTCACACATATTTTACACGATTTTGCTTCACTATAAAAAAAGGGCGTCAGATTGGAATTTTTGTTTGAGCTGCAACTATATTTTTGAAAATATAATGTATCGTTTGCTACTTGACATTTCTGTTTTTATACAAAACGGCGCTTCGAAAGAAGCAATGGATGGAAGGCTATGTCTGTTCTCTTTCGGAAGAAAGTTATTCATATCTAGTAATTAAGCAACGCTGTTAAAGCCATGGTTTTTCTATATCTAAAACTATGATAGGCAATACTGACAAGAAAGGTAAAAAACGTCAAAGTTTTTTTAAGTTTTTTTTTTTTTTTTTTTTTTTTTTTTTTTTTTTTTCCAAGTGGAAAGATTGTTCCAAATACAAATCCAACGAAAACTTGAATGTTTCGAATGTTGCAAAGGAATGATCTTTGATGTTGAAAGAAAATCCGCAAGTCAAAGGACAAGTACAAAACCATTAAAATGCTCAGTGTCAACAATAATCAAAGCGATTAATGCTGATTTGAATCTTAAAAAAGAAATAAAAAACAATGTGTATCGTCTTTCTCCTCGACATATCGCCGAACGCGCTACAGAATTCTTCACGAGAAACATATTTCCGGATAAAAATGGAATAATGTTGTTAGAATAGATGAATCTTAGGTGCATTTAAATGACTACAATAAAAGGAGATCCATTTATTATCATTAAGGAGGAGAAAAAGTCTTAAATCATGGTTCAAAGAATCTAATGAACGTTTTTTCAAAGGGGTTTATGATTGTTGCTGTTTTTATATGTAACGGCAAAATAAAAATATAGAGTGGGGAAAAAAGTTAATATCAACTCAACATATTATCAGGAACATATGTTAGACCCGATTTTCAAGTATGAAATATCATCTCTTTACCCATACTGCCATGAATCAGTAAAAACTGCATCAAAACAAAGCAAGCAGCCACACGTCAAAATATACAATTAATTTCTTGGACAAAATGGAACAAAAAAAACTGGTATCAAGACTCCCTTCTATCATATCCCTACTAAATTCTCTAATGTATCATCTATGGAGTTTTACGCTTTTGAACTTTTAAGAAACGGATTGTCTAAACATCAATCTACAACTCACTTTGCATTTTGGAAAACTGTTCAAGAGGATTCGGATAAAATACCTCTTCTGATACTACAAAAATCTTTATTGTTTTGGAGGTTACGATACAGAAGTATCGTGAAGAACAAGAGTTATCAAACAAAACATTTAAAGCACAAAACGTTTACTTGAAATATATCTGTAAATACAGTGAAAATCGTCTAAAAATGTGCGAATAGCCTCTGTATTAAACAGTATAATTGATCGTAACCGTAAGAAAGTCTTTTAATGCATATACAAATTTATGAGCAAATTTAGAGTTAAGCTACAATAACACGCCGAACAAGTGTTAATTTAGAAGTCAAACAAAAAAAACCAGCGTTATTTTTTCCAATTTTCACAGGACTAGTTTCGATGGTTTTACTGAACCATTATCCTCAGTCCATTCTCAGTTTTCACAGGACCATCGAGACTAGCCCTACGAAAATTTGAAAACATAACGCTGATTTTTGTTGTTTGACTTCTGAATTTGAAAGTTACTTAACATAAAATTGTCTGTTACCTTCTCTTCGATAACAATATTCTTATTCTGTCTATTACAGTTCCCTTCAACAACGAGATCGACGAATGTGCTTCTATGCCAGTAACAGCTCATTTCAGCATTAGACCTCTTCCGGCAGACGAAAGCATAAGGAACTCAAACAGACTGTAAGCGCTGTATCTGCTTATTCCCCCAGCCCATTTTTCATTGGAATTTTTTTTTTTTTTTTTGGTTAAAATAACTTCTTTGGCGTCACACACAAATTAATACACACATTTTTAAAATGTTAAAAATAGGAAACAAGTTTATAATTTCGTTACGAACTTGAAATTAATTTCGCCGAATGCTTAGGTTCTTTATTTAAATAGTTACTTTGAAAACCTATAGGCATCTGATAAATCGAATACATATAGAATACAAACGAGATATTCCAATATTTCATTGCTATAAAAAGGAAAGTCCGTTCGACAACAAATTAGTTAAGGAATTAGCCGTTAATTGCAGCAAAACCTTCGCTATTTTGATATTCATTTACAGTATACTCTTTTGCAAAAATCGAACCACCATGGAGGACTTTTGCGATCATGAGGAAATTTGGTACTCAAAACATCTTGATTTAATTCCGTAAAGAAGCAACTAAAGATGCCATTACGACTATATCGAAAACCTTACAGACAACTAAACGACTTCGAACGTGGTCGCATTTTTAGGGTTGCGTGAAGCTGGGTGGTCACACCGAGCAATAGGCCGCCACCTGTAGCGTACAGACACTGTTGTGCAAAAATGTTGGAATCAATGGTTGCTACAAGGAAATTGCCGACGAAATGAAGGCTCTGGAAGGCCAAGGAGCACAAATGCAAAGCAAGATAGGATAGTTGTTCGTCAAGCCCGAACCGCCCCAACCGTACCATTGTCGACTATTCAGCGCACTACAGCCACGCCTACACCTCCCGTGGTACCGTCCATCATTTCACGGCGCCTCTCAGAGGCAACGTTACGCTCACAGAGGCCTTTAAGACGTTTGCTTTTGACTCCTCAACATCAGCGGAGTCGTCTGAAGTGATGTCGCAGCCGATCATCATAGCTGCCATCAGACTGGCATCGTATAGTGTTCAGCGATGAATCCCGCTTCAAAGGCATACAGCCATAAACCCTCGTGAGATGGTGTGGGGCGCTATTTCTTATTACAGCAGGTCATCTTTAATAATCCTCCGGACCAGCTCAACGATATATTGACACCATCCTGCGGCCGGTTGCATTACCCTTCATGGCACGTCATCCTGGGCCCATTTTCCAAGAAGATAGTGCCAGGCCACATACCGCTCACATATCTCTGAACTATTTCCGTGCGGTTGCTACTCTTCCTTCTCCAGCAAGGTCACCGGACATTTCACCAATCGAACATGCCTGGGGCAGCCAGATGGTAGGCGCCAGATTCGGGCACCACAAAATATCGCAGTTTTGGAGCGACAACTGATGAATGCTTGGCAGAATGTGTCGCAAGATGACATTAGAACCTCTACCATTCCTTGCCTCGACGAATTCAAGTATGCATTGCAGGCCAAAGGCGGTTCCACCAAATACCAATTTGGACACTCGTATGAGCTATACACATATTCAATTTCATCAAAAACAACCACTTCTTTCATGGTGCTTCTATGTTTTTGCAAAAGAGTGTATTTAGTTAATAGTTATTGGTTGAAGCAGATTCCAAACAAACCACCACTAAGTAACGCAAAATCTTTCACGTGTTCAATTGCTTATTCGATGTTTAACATTATGATTTGTTTTATTAAAATTTATGAAATACTTAATTATTATCTCTGAAAATATATTTGCTTTAAATTCGAACTCATGCAAACAGAAACTGTACCGAGAACGCGGGATAAAAAATAAAATAAAATAAAATAAAATAAACATTTAATAAAATGTGAAAATGAAAGGAATGAAAAATACATGGCAGAAATCAAAAACAAAGAAGGTATAATTAAAAGCGAACGAAATAACATAAAGGGAATGAAAGGAAACATTTTCTGCATTTCCTATACAAGTTTAAAGGAATGCTTTCATTTGTCTTATGAACAGAAAGGAAAAAATGAGGGCAAGCACTGTATTTTCGCAATGTCTGCTTGAATTAAAAATTAATTAAAATCTCATTTACTTGCATCGGAGAAGAGTTTTCTACTGTGATGCGTCTTGTTTGATTTTCCATGATTTTAATTACTGCCTTGGCACTTACTTCAGCAGTAATATATTTTAATTAACATTCTTTGTGCACCTAAATATTTTATATTTAGTATTTCAAAATTCTTTTCAGCTATTAACTGGGTTGAGTGCTTTTCATAATAAGGAGAAATGAAACTGCTCCATGAAAGGAAAAGCGTGCATAATTTTAATTCTGTTTGTAATATTTTTCTTGCCTTTAAATTTTCTAAGGCTGTAAGCAGCATAAAATAATTAGTCAGAACGTTTCCATACTTACTATAAATTATATTTTATTATCTCTCTTAACTTCGTATTTCTATTGCACCATTACTCTAGTTTTAGATTTAAATTCCTTTTTTACTGGAGTATCATCCTTCCAAAATTTATAAATTATCTTTATTAACCAATGCTCTGCAAAAATTCATAGCAGTAGTTGCATAATACGAATGAGTAACCAAAAAAGGATTTTGTATAGTTTACCGAATAAATAATAAAAGGAAGATAACGAGATTCAAAGAACCATCTACTTTTAAAGTATAACCTGTCTGAATATAAAGCAATTTCCTGTTTTGGCGTATTATTTTATGACAGTATGTTTTCAGATAAAAGGCATATTTAAATGAAAAATATTTCCTGAATAAAGAAAAAAAATCTGAAAGGTTTCAGATTTTAAATTACGTCCAAAGGAGCGTTTTTTTAACATTTTGTGTGTTACCTTTATTTATTAAATATCATGTTCTTCGCACTTAAGTCATAAAATTCAATTCAATTCAGCAGCAATATCACAAAATAATTTTAAAATGAGCATATCTTTAGAACTTTCGATACAGTCTCGCGCGCTGGATTTTTTTTTTTTTTTCAGTGTTGCTATTGTTCGCTTTGAAATCGTTTCAAAAATTCGTTGAAGTGTTATAAAACATGAAATCGATAATAAAACAAATTTCAATTTTAAATTAGGTCTTCCACATGCTCATACATTCATACAGATTCCTCATTATTTAATTTCTTTAAATATAATACAGGGCGATAATATTTGGTGGCAACAATTTGAAAAGTGAAACAATGCAATCGACGGAAAATGCCAAAACGAAACTTTCTTCCATTGCTTCTTATTTTTATAAGATTTCGTTTTGTTTATTAACCTGTAGAGTCCATAGATAAATTTTTGTATGAAAACTTGAGTAGCAGGAAACTACACAAGTGAAGGATTAAAGTACCCTTTATTAAATCTTTGAAAATTTATAATGCGTCAACTCGGCGCTAACAAACGTCGCCTCTGCTTGGGCGGTAACGGAAAATCCAGTAGCGAAATTTGAAGATATTAACAAACGATAGAACTAGACTACAGGGCTCAGCGAGATCCCGTAACTTAAATCTCCTTCGAAGCTAGTGGCAGCAAATAAATGCAATTAAACCACTTGAAGCAGCAATAAGCAAACGTATCTACGGCAGACTGGCGGCTAGAGCCTAACTCTCTCAGCTAGGTAATGTGTACATTAACGACTCTCGAACTTTAGCTATAACCTAGTATATATGTGTGTGATATTTCGGCATCAAAGTTCAGGCATGGTTTTTACAAAGTGGTAAGGATAATCCAAATGAAGAGGCAAGTTGATTTAGTTTTTAATGTTACATCTTTATTCCATAGCTTTTATTCAATTATCACTCAGATCATTTATTCGTTACTAAATAAGAGTATATTTAAACTTTAATGTGTCATAACTTATTCTAACAAAGAGAGCAAGCGCAGTAGCGTAGACCCTAAACGCACAGAGAGAGGAAAGCTTCTGACGCAAAATGGCGCGCATTCGTTATTTATAGTAACGGTTACGTAATAACAAATAATAACAAATTCTAGATGGTACTGGTCTATGGGGAAGATCAGAAATTGCAGAAAGTTAATTAAAGGTTGCGTGTTCGCGAAAAGCAAAGCCATCGTATTCTTTTATATTATATATATGAGAACATAATTCGTGTATTGTGTTAAATAACTAATTTTGAAAATTGCAAATGGATGCTGCATTTGTTTGAGAATTATTAGTTAGCAAACAGTGTAATTGATAAAATGTTAACTAATACAATGTATTTAAAACATGACGAAAAAGGGAAGAAATACAATATCAAATGTAAAAATAACGAATTATTATAGCAGTAAAATCTAACATTGCATTTTTCAATGATTTAATAAATGACTAACTACAAACCAATCAGTTTAAAAAAATGAATCCTTCAATCCACTATGATGGCTTCAGAACATTTGGCAAAAATTATTTTTCTTGCATGAAAACTTGTGAATGAAGTTCAAGCGGTGGGAAAAGAAAATTTATATTTGTGGCATGTATTCCGTTTCTATTTGTGGTTAATCATGCTGTAATGAAGATCTCAAGGATGTGCTTCAATGTACTTATTAGCAATTAATGAAATTTGAAGTTATATCTTAGTAAATTCGAAATGCTCGTTCGGACAGAAAAAGAGGAATCTGTTAAAATAGGGTTTAATTTAAAGGAAAAGTAATGGGATATATTTTTTCCCTTTTCACCAAGAAATATTGAATGATATTACATAAAATATTCCTGCTTTGATTTCAAAAGACTTATGGTTGTTTAAGTAGCGAACGAGAGGCGCTTTGGTAAGTCAAAGGATATAAAATGGATTGGAGTACGTAAAAAAAAAAAAAAAAAAAAAAAAAAAAACAGGAAAAATTTCTCTCTAGAAAACTTATGAGCAATTAAATCCGTATTTTTTAAATTTACTATTCAGATGCGGACGTTATAATATGAAGTGGTCGCTTAACTCAAGAGATTGTCGCTCTATAATTTCTCTTGATGAATAAAATATTTACAGACGCCCATAGCACTCGTTTTGAATTTAACTTTGTCAGTCGTTAGTTACAGAGAAGCATTCCTTATAACTTACATGTTATAGGCAATTTTAACAATCAATAAGATGTATTTCAAAAGCTATATTCTAGTTAAATAAATATAAGAGCGATATTGCAATTAATCTTAATAACAAAATGAACATGTTTTACAGAAATTTGGTTGAAATATTTGTTAAGTTTCAATGAAATGCGAGTGATTTATTGCTTCCTTTCATGAAACATGTCGGCCCATCAGCGGCCGAGCAGTAAAGTCTCTGAACACAGGTAGTTCTGACCTGGCTTCGATTCCAGGCGAACGAGCTGACTGCATGGGGCCTCTCAGGCGAATTAGGAGCCTCACTGCGATATTCAAGGGTTCGGGTTTGAATCTCGGAGAAGTAATGGATGTAAAAATTGTCTGTCCCTTCATAGAAGGTAACTGTGGCCGTTTTTTAGGTGCCTCCATTATAAAATGGCCAAATTTTGAATAACAAGAAGTGGTTTCTTGCGTTAAGAGTGCCGTTATAGGCAAGTGCCCGCCACAGGAAACTAAAATAACAATAATAATAATATTTTTTTTTTTTTTAACTGAAAGCTTTCAGATTTTACATAACGCCCAAAGGGGCGTTTCTTTAACGTTTTGTGTGTTACCTTTATTTATTAAATATAATGTTCTTCGCACTTAAACCATAAAATTCAATTCAACAGCGTGTCACAAAATATTTAAAAAGAACATATCCATAGAATTTCCGTTACACAGTCTCAAGCGCTGGAGATAATGTTTTTTTCGTACTACAGTGTTGTTATTGCTCGCTTTGAAATCGTTGAATTTGTTAATAAAAATTCGATAAAAGTTTACAAAATATATGAAATAGAATATAAAACGAATTCTAATTTTCGGCTTCCAGATGCCAATATTCGAGTGGAGGACTACGTTATTCAAAATTTGATGTCTCTAGGTACAGTTGTTTTTTCATAGTGCGAGAAACATACATACATTCATGCAGATTCTTCATTATTTATTTCTTTAAATACAATGGAGAGCTTTAGCATTTTGTGGCAACAATTTGAAAAGTGAAACGCCGTTTTATAGTGAACCAGCGCAAAATGCCAAAACGAAATTAATAGCCCTTCTGGGCAAATTGCCCTTTTGGGCTAAAAATTAGGGCAAAAAGTTGAGTTATTGAGGCAAAAAAGTAAAATCTGGAAATAATAAATTATTTCTCGTATAGTTGAAAAACTGCATTTAATACCTAATATAAACAGATTAGTTATCTTAAACTATAAGAAGGTAGATAAACAAGCAGCATTGAGTACTAAAACAAGTCTTCTAAAATTTAACAAATGGGAGCTTAAAGAATTTTTATTGTTAAAAGATGATTAATTCAGGAGTTTTGTCCAATGAAAGTGTTCTTTTCCTCAAGGAGATCAGTTTTTTAAAATGCTCTTTCTAAAATGTCAGTAGTGGAAGGGGAGAATAACGGTATCAGGTGTTCAAAATAGACATGAAATTTTATATTCGTGGTAAGAAGTATCAAATTCTTTTGAAAGAACCTCGATAGGGCTTAGTTTAATGTACCGATATGAAAAACTGAGCTACCTTTCACATCTATTTGCTAGGCGATGGATACATTCTTACCAGAGAGAAAGGCACGACGCCAAGAAAGCCATTCGGCTTAACATAATAGTTGAAAATAGAGTAAGCGAAATTGAAGATATCTTTTTAATGGATTTATAAAATGGGTATAGGTACAAGAACCGCTGCATCTGAATATTCCACGAAATTGTTTCAATGCTGTTATATGGTCTACCATTTACTAGGGAATATGTGGCTAGACAAAAATATATAAAAAAAAAATACTCGTCTAAAATGTTTTGTTATAATTTATTTCAAACTCAATTTCTGCATCTATTTGGTATTAATTTTGAAATAAATTATTCGTAAACTATGAATGAAAGAAATTTTTTAATATAATTTCGGATTACTAAATCCTTTGTGGAGTTCAACAAGTTTTTAAGATAATGTTTAAATAATTTAAAAACTGCTTTTATTTTTCGCAGCATGTCTATATATGATGCAGCTCTAGTTATCATGATGAAACATCACTTCCGGCCTAAGACCCGTTTTCGAGCGGCTGCGGTTCGTATAATAATAGAAGTAAGTTTTAAATTGCTATTATTAACTCCAAATTCCTATTTTCCTTATCTGCTACTGTAAAAGTTGTTTTCAGGCTGTACCAACTAGCCAGAATCTTAAAACTATTTCTGTGCCATGCGATTTGTTTGCTTACAGCCAGTGGATGACACCTATGAAAATCACCATCTTTACATAGTGTCATTCTGAGGCCCTGTCTCAGTTTTTCTAACTTCAAATTGGAGATACAAAAGATATATTTGATTTTGGCAAAGCCCAAACTGTGTATACAAAATGCACTGTAACATGCTCATGCTATACGTGTTACTTATTTGAGATAATTCAGCAAATAGCCATTATAGTTACGATTTAATGGTATATGCCTGTATCTAAACGACATTATATTCACATAGATGCTGGAAATGGATGCTATATTCACATACTTAGTGGAGCAGCATGATCAGTGTTGTTCATTCCATTTGCTGAAGCGTATTTTCATATTGTTTTGCTTTACTGAGCATGCTAAAGTTAATAAGTGTCAAATTAAATAAAAGTTAATGTCAGTAAATTTTGCCTTAATTAACACTGGTACCAGCATCGTTAGCCTCCAAATTTATCTGACCTAACGCGCTAAAACAGTCTCTGAGTTGCAAGATGATTCTTGTGGGCCTCTAAGCGTTTCCAAATTTTACTTTGTAATAAAATTTTACAATTTTGTTCATTAATAAGTTGCTTAGAATTTATAATCATCAACTAATTTACAATTATACACATATTTATTTTATCTATTATTTCCTTTTCACACTATTTATTTCTTTTTCCCCTTCCCTCTTCTTCTTGAAAACAGTTGTGATCATGATAAATTGCAACTACATGCACGTATATCGCGATACTACGTTTGGGAATCATTGTTGTAGATGATATCTCTATTGGACCAATCGTCTAATTTCAGCCCAACTTCACATACACGCTCAAAACCAACATGAAGGTATTCTTAACGTCTATAGGAGTTCGCACAATCGCCTTTTGGTTCGATTTAATTCTTAATATATATTATTTTTTTTATTTTTTTGCTCATTATGCCTGACCATTATTGACTTATGCTATGAATGGCTTTGTTTTCAATTTACCTACTTGGTTTCCATGCGAAATTTTATTTAGATCTACTGACGTTCTCATTGTTCTAATTGTTTTACGCATGTGTTATTGCGTTTTGATTTTCAGGCTAGGAAACGTTAATGAATAGCCGAAAAATTTTATATCAGCCCAGTTATCAGTCTCATTTAGATAGATTTTGCCTGGCAGAATCTTTTCTGCCATTTAATTATACTGATTTCATTAAGCCTGGTTTAATATGAAATGGAAATTAAATGATGCTGTTATTACTCAGCACAATTTGACTTTTAGAAAATAGAGCATAATATGTGCTTTCAATTTAAAATCTGTACTAAGCCATGTTTTAATTGAAACGAATAATTTTGTTTTCTATTAAATATTGTACTACTGAAACTCTCTGAAGATTGATGTTTTACAGAAAAAATGGGTCGACAAGTAAATCAATATGTAAATATGAAAACTATAATCCATCTATCTCTCTTTCTCTCTCTGTATTGTTAGAAAACTTTTTATATACCATCTCCAAATTCAGAAACAGAAATTCAATTAAAAATATGAATTATTAAAATATTTATTTATTAATTTAAATATGTATTAACTAGACCTTATTTTCTTTAAAAACATAGAAATGGTATAGAAAAATCCTTAAACGAAAAAATACCAAAATCAAAAGTAAAAATTTTAAGTATTGAAAAAGTAGCCATATTTATTGATCGCAGATTAATCGACTTACTAAGGGGATATACCAATCTACCATCAATTAACAACAACTAAGTAAAGTGAGGTTGTCTCGTCTTTCTTCCAAGTAAGCATCAAATTATATTTCTGCAAGAACCAAATCATAAGTCACGAATAGTATTGTTACGAATTTGGTATTTAAAAAGCTAATGTTAGTTCAATTATAAATTAAATGGTTTTATTTCTCGCGCAGTGCAGCGCGTGACGAATATTAAAAGAAAGCTAAGCCGGAAAAATTAAAAATATAGAGCGCGTGCGTTAAATAAATAAATATCTCTTTTTGATTTCGAGAAAGTACTGGAAAATTCTAGCGCGTGATTTTAAAATCTTATAAAAGGAGGAAAACATCTCAGTTTGTAGTAGTTGCTTAGTTTGTTGTTGTTTAGAAAACTGCCGTTGTTGATTATAGCGAATTCGCGGATTAACGTTCTTTAGCTGTTTTGAATTACGTTCTATTGTACTTTTAAATAGTTTAAAAGATAAATACTGTGAGATATTAGATACTGCATGATAATTTGAGAAAATTTAAGCATTTTCTGTTGTGATAATAATAAATTTTTGTTCATTTTTCATCGGACTTGTGCATTCATTTCATAACGAACCCGTACGCCACGCAACATTTTTGGTGTCAGAAATGGGATTTGAATGCCAATAACAAGAGGGATGGAAGAACAATTGAGACAGCTCTTACTGCTTTTTGCGCTTTCCAAGAAAAGATGGAAGCTGGCCAAACATCTTTTAAAGAAGAAATTAAAGAGAAAATGGAGCTGGTCAAGGTCCGTTAAAGAAGAAATGAAATTGGGCCAGGAATCCCTCAAGGAAGAAATGAAACGGCACAGGAACAAATGAGGTTGGGCCAGGAATCCGGTAAAGGAGAAATGAAATTGGGCCAGGAATCCGTTAAGGAAGAGATGAAATCTCTTAAAAATGAGATGAAAGCAGGTCAGGACGAAATGAAAAGAGAAATTACCTGCGTAATAGAAAATAATTTGAGGCTATGGAAGGCAGAATAGACGCGGTTGAAACTAAAGTGGACAAATAGAAGAAAGAGTTTCTTCGGTAAAAGAACAAGTAGAAGAAAGAATTTCTTCTGTAAAAGAACAATATAGAAGAGAGAGTTTCTGCCGTCGAACAACAAATTGATGATAGGGTTTCTGCTGCCGTCGCCAAAGAAGTTGACAGCCTAAAGAAGTGCATAGCGACGGTAGGAAACAACTCTGAAGGTTTCAAATTTTTGTCGATGCCTGCTCGTTCCGTTCTGAAACTATCTACATATGATGGGAAGACCTCCTGGCAGGTGTTAGGACACAATTTTCTATCGTTGGCGGATGCGAATGGATGGGATTCCCAAGCTAAGGCCTGTCATCTCGCCGCTTCTCTGAGAGCAGACGCAGCGGATATCCTGCAGACGCTCCCGAAAATCAAAGGCTAGATTTCGAAGCTCTATCCGGCCCTTTTGGAGCTGCGCTTCGGCGAGAAATGTTTAAAAAGACTACAGCGGGCTCCAATTAAAATCTCGTCAACAGAAGCTCACCGAAACGCTTCAGGAGCTCGCCACGGATGTTGAAAGGCTGTCACATCACGCCTTTTCGGAGTGCCGACAGAAACAAGGGAAATCCTGTCCCTGCAATATTTCATCGATGGCATCCGGGACCGAAATAAGAAAGCACTGCGAATGCGGATGTTAAAGATCTGAAAAGCGCTTTAGTGTATGCCATGAAATTTGAGGCAGCCCAGCAAGCAACTCTTAGGGATAACTACCCAGTCAGAGCTGTGCGAGTCCACGACCCAGGGGACCAATTGATGGCTCGTTTAGATGATTTATCCAGACAAAGTCGATGCTTTGATACGGAGTAGCAGTGAGAACAAAGTGGCTGTAAGATGTGGAGATGTGGTTCTGAAGGTCACCTACGACGGCATTGCAGAACACCCCAGGGCGGATAATAAAACGATGAGTTGACAAGACTGTGGCTTAGACGGAATAGTGGTGAAACAAAACCGACTCTAAAGTGCTGGAATTGCGGTGTGAAGGCCACATACGAAGGAACTGCAGAACTCCCCAGAGCACGGAAAATAAGGCATACGATTTAAACCATTAAATGCCCGGCAAGGAAAAGGACTGACAAAAACCAAGTGAACGTGGGCTGAACACGTACGAAGAATTGCAGAACACCCCGGGTACGAAAATTGAGACATTTCTGAGAAACACGCAGGAAACAATTAATGACCATATCAAAGAACGGAGGTTGCCAGATAAGAAAAACCCTGTTTTTAAAGCGCTTAAGATCTCTATAGTGATGGCAACAATACGGACTGTCCATCAATGGGAATATCGATGAGTTCTTGCAATATGATCATTGACAGGAGCTATTGTTCCATATTAGGAAGATTTAGCTGAACAGTTTAAAGATAAACTTATTTGGACGCCATCCTGTGTTACCCTTCAACTGTGTCCGGTGAAAGATCGACATCGACGGAAAGTAAACGGAACATCACGTTTGGAAGTGCCGCTTACCATCACACGGCATATGTGCGATATTCAGATCCATGCATACTCGGATTGGCTTTTTAAGGAAATACAATTTTCCTTAGACTTGAAAAACAAAACTGCTTTCAGCATCTGATGGCATGACTATCCATCCTCAACAAGGATCCTCGCCTGGAAATGTCGACGCCTTTCCGAAAGATCGAGTCGGGAAGCTGCCGAAATCATACTAGGGTCGAAAAGAAACTCAACTACCAGCTATTCCATCCAGAAGCTCTTCGTCGAGCCTTCGTCTGCCCTTGTGACCGCCTGTTTAGTCGCCCTACGGATGCGCCTTCATCGCCTGAGGAAGCACATCAAGATGCCCAGGCCGGTTTGAGGGGATGCAACCGTTCTGCACGAAAGCGGTCAACTTGGCGACGGAGAAAATAAGATCAGATGCGAACAAGAGCTACTAGAACAGAATCCAAAAAGGAGACAAGGTG